AAAAAAAAAACGAGTCTTTTTTTTTTTCAATTTGGTGCCGCCTTGTAAATGCAGGTTTGTATGTTGGTGCTTTTGGTCCATATGGTCCTGAGATTGTACAATTAAGGCGCAAATATGGTAATTGGAATACGCATAACAATGATTCGTCTTCTGATGTTGAGTTCTTCGAGTATGTTGAGGCAGTAAAGCTGACTGGGGATATGAATGTTCCTGCCGGTGAGGTATGTAAGTTTACGCTTTATTAATTATTTGAAATAATTAGAAAACTTACAGAATTGAGATAAGATGGGCAAATTGCATTTTTAGTTAACGTCATAGCAATTTTAGTCCTAAGTTTCCAACATTTCGCCTTTTAGTCTTGTGATTTAATATTTTGCTGCAATTTCAGTCCTTAAATTGCAACAAATTCCCAAATTCACTGTAATTTCGATTAACAATTTAAGTCTTGTAATTTAAAGTTCTGTTGCAATTTCAGTACTGTAATTTAAAAATTTATTACAATTTCAGTCCTTTCCTAAAAGACTGAAATTGCAACAAAATATTAAATAATATTATATCACAGGACCAAAAGGTGAAAAGTTGGAACTTTGTGACTAAAATTGCTATACCGTTAAACCAACGGGACTAGAAATGCATTTTCCCAAAATTAACTGAAAAAACAGCTATTTCCAAACACACAAAAACAACTCAAATGTATTATATTAAGAGTAACTGTTTATTTATAGCGATCTTGCTAATAACCGGGTTATCCATGCAGGTAACATTTCGAGCTAAAGTAGGGAAAGGAAATCGCCTCACTAACAAGGCGAAGTTGTACCCTCGTGAACTAGGAGTCGTATGTGTCTCTCTCTCTCTCTCTAATGAGGCTAGAAATGTGACTTTCTGGACAGTAACTAGACTTATACAATAATATCTACTAAATTTTGTTATTTTTTTTTTATCATTTTAAGGTTGCAAGTTACAATGGTCAAGGAAGAGTCGCAGAATTTGGGTTTCAAAACCCCAAATGGGTCGAAGGCGAGTTTCTTCAACTCGATGGCAGGGTAATAATGCTTGCTAATCTTAGTTTCATTTTCTTTTTAAAGAAATTGTTTTAACTTATGTAATCGTTCGTTAACAAATCTTGACCGTTAATTGCAGAGTTTGGGAGTCCCATATATCAATGGCGTGAATTTGGGTTTTCTTTACGCTGTCCCGGAGCAAGCTTTTCTCGTGCTTTTCCATCGTCTGAATCTCCCAGAGTGAGTCCTGCCTTAAAAAAAGTGCATCTTCCCCACTTAAAAGTTGTTGTGTAGTTTTATGTCTCGCTTATATTAAATACATTCCGTCTTGACAAAGATATTCAAGAAATAATGTGTATGTGATTGTGCCTATATGTTATTTTATTAAAGTCTATTGTTTTTCAAGGAATTGGTTTATTGGGACAAATCGAAACACAAGCCTGATCATGAATAGAAGTCTAGCTTGCTTTAATTAATTTAATGGAACAAAGTCTTACTTTTAAATGTTGAGATGTTTATTTGCAGGGATACATTTATTATTATTTTTTTTCATATGTAATTTTTGTTAAAAATGTAGGACGACTCGACCCGCCTAATTTTTAATCCGTCTTACATAAGAATTTATGATTTAACTAAATTATCTTAACTATATTACAGGGCTGTTTTTACTAAAATTTGGATTGGAATAACTAAAACAAGTAGGTAAAACAAGTTCATGAGTACTCCTAGTTCGGATTTTGAAGTGGTATTAATATTAAATAAAAATAACATAGTAACGCAAAGCAACTAGAATGAATAGGCCGAAGAAAAATGGTAACTCAATAATTTGGGTGTTCAGGAATAATAATTTTTTTATCTTAAATGCACATATCAAACATATGATTGTTTGGTTTTATTCTCAGTAATTCTTCGTAACAAGAGAACAAACATGCATATCAAACTTATTCAATCTAAAAATAAACAGATAATACAACTATAAACACATACAATGGTTTGCGATGGTGGAAAGTAGCGGTAAATCGATAATTTGGGTGTTCAGGAACAATCATTTTTAATCCTAAATGCACATATCAAACATATGATCGTTCGGTTCAATAGCGCAGAAAACCAAATCATCTACATTAGCAATTTATTCTCAGTAATTATCCGTTACAAGAGAACAAACATGCATATCAAACTTATTCAATCTAGAAATATACAGACAATACAAGTACAATGGTTTGCGATGGTGGAAAGTAGCGGCCCACGGTGATTTTCGACATCTGGCAAAGATTTTATGCGAAATTATCTGGATTGCATTATGACCAGCATTGGAAAATTTCTAGGTTACGAGAGGACTTAGATGTGTCATTTGAGTCAAGCTAAGATGAGGATACAAAGTTCGAACTTATCTAGTTAGAAAACGATATAATTTGGGTCAGAAAGATTTGTTTAATGTTTGATTTTGCACTATGACATTTTCAAATATTACTTGATGTATGTTTATACAACAAAAAAGGCTAGACAATGTATCCAAAACCTACTCTACAAACCCAAAGTTCTAATATAGTTGCTCTCTAACAAGTTTAGATTGACTTGCTTAATAAATGCGATTAGTTATTCGAGTTTGTGACCCGATTAAAATTAAGCTTTCACAAGTTGAATTGAGTTGTATCTGCGAATAGCTCGAGTTGACACTTTTGGTGAGGCTTGATATTTCACATCAAAGCATGATCAAGGATCACTCTTTTAGCCTATGAAAAAAAGAATGAGGGCATTTTTGTAGTTGTAGCAAGTTTCAGTGGTGAAGATTGAAGAGTGAAGATAACATTAAGGGCGTGATTAGATATCAACTAAGCTAATAAAAATTAAAACGTAAATTTAACTCAACAACATTATACTCAATATTATCAATATAATTAAATAATATTAACCAATCATCCTTATACATTACATTAACTTTAATTTACAATTCACCTACTCACATAATTTTAATTATCTATCACTTCTAATCAATTTTCTTCTACTTTTACATCAAATCAACATTAATCATTTTCTAAAAAATATTATTTTGATACAAACTCAAAATTTCACTCAAATATGATCCAACCACTTTTTTGATTTATTTGGATTTTTTTTTGTTTTGTATGGTTAATTTTGAAAAAATTGGTATCGTTAATTGTTAGTGAGATTTATACCTAAATAATTAAGATTGGTATCGTTAATTTTGAAATAATTAAGATTGATTTGATGTAAAAAATAGAGAAAAATAATTTGAAATGATGGTGGGTTAAATCATGTGAATGGATGAATGTTGAATTACAATTTATGTGATGTGAGGAATAAATAAATTATATTATTTAAGTATATTGATAATATTAAAGTTGAGTTAAAAAATTAGTAGATTAAACATAATGATTTTTTTTTTTTAAAAAAAAAAATTATATCCAAACATCCCCTAAATGCTTGAATTCAACGGTACGTTTTCACTCTCACCTGTCACTGTCATCTACTGTCACTGCATAAAACCCCACGCCAAAAACAACTTCTCTGCAAAACCCTCGTTTTCCCTTTGAAAATCGTTAGTTACTTCAAGCAAATATCAACGATCCTCCCAAAACAATGCCTCCTAATCGAAACCCACGCCGGAAAAACACCAGCCCACTGACCGCCTTCGCCGCCGCCGCCGCCACCGCCGACCCCATGGCGGACTGCGTCCTCCCTCTAGACGTCATTCCCTGCATCCTCACGCGGCTACCCTTGAAATCGGTCCTCCGCTTCAAATCCGTCTGCAAACCCTGGTGCAAGCTCGTCGCCTCCTCAAAATTCGTCAAAGCCCACCACGACCAGCTGTCCAAAGACCCCCAAAATCAGGCCGCCGTTATCTACAGTCGCTCCGACTACCACGACCACACCATGTCCCTTTACAAAATCAACTCCGGCGAGAAAAATCCCATTAGCCTAGACCACCCTTATCCTGGGATCTTCTTCAGGAAGGATTTTCTCGACGCTTCCTATGGCTTGATGTGTAGGGGCTGCCCGCCTCGCGGACAGGGGACTGTTCTCTGGAACCCGATCTTCTTCAGGGTGGATTTTGTCGGCGCTTGCTATGGCTTGCTGTGTATGGGCTGCCCGCCTCTCGGTCAGGGGATTGTTCTCTGGAACCCTGCGATGAAGCTGTTCAAATTCGTTGGTCCCTCGAAGGTGGAATTTGAGGTCCCTGAGATGGTTTCCCTAGGGTTTGGTTTTGATTCCAAAAGTGATGATTTTAAGGTTGTGAGGATTGTGTGTCTAGCTGAGAAAAAGAAGGGTAAGAGTATGGGTGTTGGGGTTGAGGTTTACTCTGCAAATTCGGATTCGTGGAAGACGATCGAGGTGGGTTTTCGGTTTAAGGTGCTGTCGACCAAGAATGATGCCATTGTGAATGGAAATCCGTATTGGGTCGTGAAATTCGACGAGAAGGGGGGTGCAGAGAGTAGTCTTGGCGAGGCTTTAGTGTGCTTTGATAGTTTGATGTGACAAAAATGGTTTTCATGATTTTGCCCTTTTCAGGATTTAGCCTCCATGGAGGAGCTGAGGTGCTATTGGTGGATTGGAAGGGCTCTCTTGGTGCAATTGTGTGTGATAAAAACTTTGAAAGGGTTGATTCTCTTGATGTTTGGGTGTTTGATGATTGTGAGAAGATTTGGACCAAGAATCACACTTTTGGGCCGATCGAGCTGAAAGTCGATCGGATTTTGCAATGTTCTAACAATGGGATGATTCTTGGGGAGTGCCCTGATGGCAAGCTGTTTGTGTTTGATCCTATGAGTGGAAGTGTTGAGGAGATTGTTATCGACAAGGCCCAAAAGCATTCTTTTGTGATCAATGGATATTCCGAGAGTTTGGCGTGTGTTGAAGGAATGGAAAAGGTGGTGGTGAAGAAAAACGTTGAGGAAGATGGGGAAGATTCGGAGGAGGGGCCGGATATCAACTTTGAGAGTTTCTTGAAGATCTTATCTGCAATTAAATAATGGTAATTAGCTGCATTCTGCATTTTAGGCATTCGTTTAACATCTGCCTTTTTTTGTATGAAAACTTGGGATGAAGAAAGGGGTTTACTAGTTACTACTAATGTTGGATGGAGTTAAGAGTATTTTGTGGTAGTTTTATTATGCTGGGATTAGTTTTCTTATTATGATATCCAAAGTTTGTTGTTTAATGTTTCAGACTTTCAGTACTTGTTATGAGTGGCTATGGTTTTTGTTAACTGATTATCATGAATTGTTTTCAATTTTGTGTTTGATGGGTATTTGATATTTGTTGATGAGTGGTTTTTGCATGGATGGTTGGTACTTGCTATGGCCATGTAATGTAGCTTAAGCTTTATTTGCCTATAATTTTGGCATAAATACTGCGAGTTTACGGTTTACGCTTTCTAAGAACAACTCGAACTTGATCGATAGTTGTAAGTTTACGCTTTCTAAGAACAACTCGAACTCGATCGATAATTGTGACTTCATATTTTGCTAAGGCGTGCATGAATCATATATTGTTTTGTTCAAGGGACAATCTCTTTTTATTAATTTATTTTTATTTAATTTTTCATTTTCATCGAATACATTGCATTGTCGAACGCCTCATTTGTGTAGTTCTTTCACCGTAGCATTGCTAGTGTAACTTCACAATTTGATTGCATTTATATAATTAAGCCGACGTATGTTTATATATAATAAAATATTACTTATTATGTAATATAGTTTTCAATAGAAATAATAAAAATATTTGGAGCATAATTTATCGGTGTAGATTTGCATATGCAAATTGTTGGATACAACATTGGTGAGTTGTCACATCAAATTAATTTTAATTTAATATTCATCTACTTACGTAATTTTAATTATTTTTCACTTTCAATCATCTTTTTCATACTTTAACATTAAATTAACTTGAATCAGTTTATTTAAAATATTATTTTAATATAACTTCAAGATTTCACTCAAATATACCCCAATCACTTTTTCAAAATTAACTATCGTTAAAAAAAATCAACATTAAATCAAGCCCATAATATAAGATATTTTGATTTTGTTTGGATTTTTTTTGATTTTGTATGGTTAATTTTAAAAAAAAAAAAAGTTGTATGGTTAATTGTCAGTGATATTTTGAGTTTATTTTAAAATAATATTTATAATAAAATCATTATTGTTGATTTGATGTAAGCATGAGAAAAATAATTAATTTTGTGAAATAGGAAAAAAATGATTTGAAGGGATGG